CTAACAAAATATTTTTTTTTCTAAAGATTTTTTTCGAAAAACGATGTTAACTCTAAAATGAGGGTGAAGCAGCCCTTTACAAAAATTAATGGATCAGTCCAATTTCTTGTGATGCATTTTCTGTTCTGTGAACGAAATAAAAGGCACAATTGAACAGTTGGTTTTCGACGTTTTTTGTTACTGAAAATATGAACAGATTTCATAAGTTTGGGACAGTTTTGGCACTAAGCAAGTGTAAGTGCCCGGGCACAACCATGGAAGAGACGGAACGAGTCAGGAAAATACGTGCAGGAAAATTTGATCTAGTTCGCCCCCGCGGAGTCGGCCCAGCGGCGATTTTTTTCTTCTCCCAAACGACATCCGCAATACGCTATGGCGTTTTGGGCTTTACTTTTCTAAAAACATGAGAAGAAAATCAAAAATATAAATATATGAAATTCAGACTTTATTTCCCTTTTTAAAAAAATCCTCCCAAGCCTCATGTGCAATATCGTGAATCGAACCTGCAACCTCGCGGTGTAAAACACAAAATTTTTATTGACTGAGCTGTCGCACTGCTCGCCTTAATTCAGGGAAACTGTGCGCACGTATCATAAAAGTATCGTAGAGGGCGCTTAACGTGCGTATGCGGATGTCGTTTTGGCTGGAAAAAAGAAAATTTGCGGGCCCGGTGTGTCTCCTCTGGCTGCGCACCGAAACGAAACATTCACTTCTCAACGTCATCATCTACAATTCAAGTATTTGCGGTGTTTTGTCTGTCTGTACATGGTCTGTACAACTTCACATTTCCGTCAAAATAAAACAGGCACCGTATTTTCTTTGCGAAATGTCAGAGACTTTGTTTCCCTTCGGTTAACTACGCACGTGATTACGATTTCGGCACTTGGTATGTGGGGTGAAATTGTGTTGTTTGTACTGCATGCGACGTGGAAGACGCAAAATCCAATACACGTGAAGTTAGTCAGTTGGTTCCGCCCCTGAATAGGTAAGACCTCGCGGTACAATGTGGTAACAGTGAATTTGTGGTTTGCGGTTTTTCATGGGAGCGCTTTAGCGACAGTTTTAAAACTCAAAGGGTTGACTATAGCAAGTATATGGTTTAATACAAAAGCGGTACTACAAAAGAATATCGCGATATTTTTCAGCATATCGAATTCCACGATGTGCCAATTTTTTTTTATGAGGTCGATATGATTTCCGATATGCAAATCAAATCGAAATATCGTGAAACATCGTCATACCGAACAGGCTTAGTGCATTTCATTGCATGCACGCATCCTGCTGCGTATTCCGCTGCATGCTGATATGTACGTTAGTGTGTCGTTTCAAATGTTTCAAACGTATTTTGACATTATTAACAAATGTGTTATTATCCAAAAGAGGTTAGGAGTTTGATACGGACATTGACAAGACCGATCCTCAGGTTACGAATCTGTGGAAATGGATTTGGATGGAACACATGGTTAATGGGCAGAAATTGGGCGACTCGATCAGAAGCCGCGCGGAACACGCGATGACGATATCATCTGCAGTAAGGAGTTAAAATATGGAAAACGTGGTCGAATTTCCCAGTTTTCATATACAAGTTGGCCATTTAGGCAGTTTCAAACCAATATGAAGGAACTGAAGTTAACTAAAAAATATGCATAAATTGCAAAACATTTTTCGAACAACAATAGTTGGCCCAGGCATGCCAGGGGGCTTTTAAATGCACCACAGAGCATCTACATTTCAAGTTGAAATTTCTGGCAAAGATCACAGAACGGGCCGCTGCATCACAAATTCAAGACTATCTTTTCGAGAACAATCTATTGTACATGGAAACATGCAGACTGCATACAAGAAGCATCACAGCGTGGAGACGGCTCTTCTCCGCGTTCATAACGACTTGCTACTAGCAGTAGACAAGGGTCTTGAAGCAGTTATGATCCTCCTGGATTTTTCTGCTGCCTTCGACACGATAAATTAAGATATCATGCTTACCTGACTATCTCAACGGTTCGGTATATCTGGTCAAGCAATAAACTGGTTTGACTCATACTTTCGACAACGTTCTCAACATGTTAGTATAGGGGACGATAAATCCGCTGCCCATGTACCTGATGTTGGCATTCCCCAAGGTTCTGTGCTCGGACCGCTTTGTTTTATTATGTACACGTCCCCTCTTGAAGACATCATCGAAGCTCATGGCGTTGGGAAAATGATCTATGCAGATGACACCCAAATCTATGTAATCCTCAAAGAACATGATCGTCCCAACGTCTTCTCCAATGTAGAGCGTTGTGTGAAGGACATTTACACGTGGTCTCCAACAAATAAGCTGAAACTTAAAACGGACAAGACTGAAATCCTCCATATAACATCCCGAAATAGGAAGCGTTCGCTGCTTCCTCCAATCCTCGTCGGCGGTTGCCCTGTTACTCCTGTTTCCGTGGTTCGCGATTTGGGAGTCGCAGTCCAAAATAATCTACAAATGGACATTCACATCAACAACACATGTCGCTCCGCTTATTTTTCCCTTCACAAAATTGGACAAATCTGGAAATATCTTGACAAGCAAACCACAGAGAAGCTTATACATGCCTTCATCACATCTCATTTGGACTTCTGCAATAGCCTCTTGCATGGGCTACCTGAGTCTCAGATCGCAAAGCTACAATGTGTTCAGAATTCAGCAGCAAGGCTAGTCACGTTGTCACATCGTCATATGCATATATACCCCATTCTTCATAACCTTCACTGGCGCCCCATCAAGCTCAGGATAGTCTTCAAACTGCTTCTCCTCACCTACAAACGTCTTCATGGTCTCGCCCCTGCTTACCTCCAGGAACTGATCAATAGGTATGAACCACAAAGAAACCCCCGCTCCAGCTCCCAGTCCTTGCTCACCTGTGTCTCCCCATCTACAAGATCCTACGGACATCGTTCCTTCTCCGTCGCCTCTCCTGCCCTGTGGAATAAACTACCCTCTCACATCAAAGAAGCATCAACCCTTGGAACCTTCAAATCAGCCCTCAAAACACATTTGCTCACACGAAACTCTTTGTAATCTTTGTCTTAATATTGTTTTGTATTGTTCAGCGCATTGGGACTTTGTGTAAAATGCGCTTTATAAGCACTATTTATTATTATTATTATTATTATTGTAACTTCAGTAGGGGGTTGGACTTGGGGCCAGGCAAGTTCGGAGTGGTTTTGTGGTCAAAAGGTCAAAGGTCAAGGTCACATTGTCGAGTTAAAGGTAAATGGTTTCTGGATGATAACTTGACTCTGGCTGAGGGGTTTCAACAGCAACGCTAGTAGGGCCAGGCAAGTTAGGAGTGGTTTGGGGTCAAAAGGTCAAAGGTCAAGGTCACAGTGGTGAGTTAAAGGTAAATGGTTTCTGGATGATAACTTAACTCCGGCTGAGGGGTTTCAACAGCAAGGCTAGTAGCATAGGCGTAGCAACGTCATTTTTATTGAGGGGGTAAACATTTCTTGAAAACAGCACTTGCACACACATACTAGAATTTGTATCCTTGTGGAGACATTCCTTTGTACTCGTGTACCAGTACTAAGTTTTCGAGTTTCTAAGTGTAGTTTCAAAATGCTCTTATTTTAACCAGAATTAATTTCCTTTGCTGAAATTTGGACTTAATATCCCTTTTCTGAAACTCTTCCATTTGCGACTGATCAACATAGCTTGGAAATTCCTAGTTTTTGAGCGTGAAAACCTTGTGGAGACGTATTCATCTATAGAAATTGCCCTGCGGAGACATATACATGTACAATCTTTTGTTCCCTATTGTACACACGTCTCCAGAGGGTACAGTGTTTCAGATCATCCATGCTGAAATGTAGACAGGTACCTGTATTTTCCTCCAGACACTTGGCCTCTATAAAATCAAAGAGTTTGGGGGGAAGGGGTGCTGGTACCATCTTTTAATGAGGGTGCTGTTCAAAGTGGACGCTCATACACACTATTGGACAATATATAATGTTTTTAGGGAGGCACACGTGCAAAATTCCCCAAAATGGTAATTACAGCCACTAGTTAAAAAAGGCACTCATTGTTTTACAAAAGAAAGAGCACTTGTAAAAAAAGGGCACTCTTAAAAAAAGCCTGGCTCTGGTCATGGAAAGCTTGGCTCCGGTCATGGAAAGCCTGGCTCTGGTCGTGGAAAGCCTGGCTCTGGTCGTGGAAAGCTTGGCTCTGGTCATGGATAGCCTGGCTCTGGTCATGGAAAGCCTGGCCTCTGGTCATGGAAAGCCTGGCCTCTAGTCACGGAAAGCCTGGCCTCTAGTCATGGAAAGCCTGGCTCTGGTCATGGAAAGCCTGGCCTCAGGTCACGGAAAGCCTGGCCTCAGGTCATGGAAAGCCTGGCCTCAGGTCATGGAAAGCCTGGCCTCAGGTCACGGAAAGCCTGGCCTCCAGTCATTGAAAGCCTGGCTCCGGTCATGGAAAGCCTGGCCTCTGGTCATGGAAAGCCTGGCCTCAGGTCATGGAAAGCCTGGCCTCCGGTCATTGAAAGCCTGGCCTCCGGTCATGGAAAGCTTGGCTCCAGTCATTGAAAGCCTGGCTCCGGTCATGGATAGCCTGGCCTCGGTAATGGAAAGCCTGGCCTCCGGTCATGGAAAGCCTGGCCTCTGGTCATGGAAAGCCTGGCTCTGGTCATGGAAAGCCTGGCCTCAGGTCATGGAAAGCCTGGCCTCCGGTCATTGAAAGCCTGGCTCTGGTCATGGAAAGCTTGGCTCCAGTCATTGAAAGCCTGGCTCCGGTCATGGGTCATGAGTTGGAGTACCAGTTTAACATGTCTTGCAGACCACAGAGTCAGTAAACATTGAGCTTTTTTGTGCACATTTCTTTCAAGAGATACCTTGCCAATAGACAAGCAGTTGTACAAAAAGAATCAAGTCATCGAACTGGAGGCAGTCTTAAACTCAATTCGAAGGAGTTGCGAGTCAATCAATATCTTATGACTGTGAAGGCCAAGGAGTATGCTGCTGCTTTGCAAGGTGCACCATTCCCTCCAGCACAGCATTTCTTCAAATCTAAGAACCTGATTGAAAAGAGTGAGGTGTTTCAACTGATTCAACTACTACCAAAAGGTAAGAATTCTATGAACTTTTTCTTTTTGAATAATAAGAGTAAATGGCGCATCAGGTCCACATTTTGCAAGATGATAATGTCTAAGTGATGACAACAGACTGAATGATTTTCTCAATGTAACTAAAAGTATGGTACATTGTATATTAATCACTAAGTCATTAAACATCAGTTGATGAAAACTTTTAACATACATGTACATGTAGCTGAAACTCAGATTTCTACTTCTAAGCTTTCAGAACTCATTCAACAGACTAATGTACAAATACAGCATGTAGGGTTGTAATAAATATTAAGTTTCTCTGTCAATCGATGCTTAAATTTTTAAAATTTAATTTGTTGAAAATTATTCTGTGAGAATGGAGGTATTTTTTCAGAAGGTGCAAAAATTCTTAACAAAAACCTCCAACATTCCAAAGACAAAACAAAGATGGATGCACTTGCTCAAAATAATCAGGAGTGCAACTTTTCCTCAGATCAGCTGATTCCTCATTTTTCACTTCACACTTATGCCATTACAAATTTAAAAACACTGTACAAAGGCTTGTAAAGGTTGGAGTTTCCTCTTTTTTTGCTACTTAAAGTTGCATGCCTGAATAATGTTGAGACAAATTTTCTGAAAAAGTAGAATAAACTCCTGTTGTCCGCATACATTATATGTACAAATAGACAGGTGGCTGACAAACATGGTAAAGATGCAGTTTTCTTGACAGTTTTTGAAATGGTTTGCACATCAGCCTTAGGTATTAACATACCGGTATGTACCGTATTTCACGTGAATACGTAATGTAATGGCGGCCATGCTGAGGAAAGTTTATGCTGGTAGCTGCTTTATTGATCAATATGGATGAGTTTGGCTCAACTGACAAAGATAGAAAGGAAGGTTACACAATTAGTGAGTTACATTCAAGGTTTGTCATCATTTTGAAAGTATTTATAATTTTATTTTAAGTACGTATACACTTTAAATTCCTTTAAAAAAATTGAAAAAAACTACAGCAAAAGTGTATAAAGGAAATATGCATTATAAAAAATTTCATAAAGAGAAATGCTCAAATGGCAAATTTCAGTACTTCATAATATATAATGAATTATTAAGAGTGACTTCAAATATTTAATTAAGAAATAAAAATGGATTATAACAAAACTCTCACTGAAACACAAAGGATGAAGAGTTACTTCTATGTGTGGCATAACTAGGACACTTGAATAATCCTGTGTCGATACTCATTATTCTTCAAGAATTGTTTGAGAAAGAAAAATATCCATTCTAAATTAATTGGTGCCACTTTGCTAAATGCAAGTACATGTAGGAAAAGAAAATTTGAAACAACTGCTTTTAAAACTACAAGTGTAAAATCCGATTAAAGTATAAACAATTTTGTATGTTTTCATTACAATTTAATTTTCAATACATTATTTAATGTAGGAAACTGCCAAAAAATAAAATTTTGTTTTTGTTTTAAATTAAAATTAAAGACAACATTATGATTAGAAAGGTGTTTATGAACATGTGTACTTGTTTATGAATTATGTTGTATCAAATTATGATACAAAAGCATTATAAAATCATAATCATAGCTTGCTCTTACCGGTTCTTTTGTTTTTGTTTTCCTCAGGCAATCTTGTTTGCATTTAATTCAGTGATGGATCAGCACATCCAATTTCTGGGAAGGTTGTGTCGGTTATGTGGTAAAAGATGTATGTCATCAGTAAGATGCACTAAAAGATGCAGTGATCATGCCCAGAAACTATTGAAGACATTTCAGGTGAATGTCCATGAAGATGAAGCCAACATTCACCCGCCACATATGTGCCACCGATGCTACTGTTTTCTATTCCATTCAAAAACCAGAACTGCTGTTCATTGGCCAAAGCATCGAAGGACAGGCAGTTGCTTCGTGTGCACACAATTCATGCAACAGTCAAAACCTGGACGGAAAAAGAAATGTCAGACCAGGACAGGACGACCAAGAGCACCACCAGCATATTCCGATCATTTCAACAATCTACGTCCTGGCCCAACAATTGACAAGGGTAACATCCACCAATTTACAGCATTGTCAAACACAGCTGATGTAAAATGCAGACTTTGCAACCAGTTGCTTGACAATGCTGTGGAGACACCATGTATGCATTTATTTTGTTGCGAGTGCTTGATTGTACACTTTAAAGATGCTGGTCAGTCTATTCCCTGCCCAACCTGTCAAGCACCAGTACACTACAGGAATGTCACTTCACCAAGGGAGTACTTTGCGTCCTTATATTCGTCATTGGCAATGCAGTGCACTGTATGCAATATACTTGTTACTCTGGGAGATGTGAAGTTACATATTTGTAGAGGTGTCCCACGTCCAAGTTTACGACATGTAGATCAGCCTGTCTCAATGCACGATCATAGATACGCATCTCAACTACCCAATGATGCAATCAGCACCGTAGATCAGTCAATCTTAACTCATGACCATGGCTATGCAACAACAGCCAAACCACCTAGTGATGTGGTTCGCATCTTACATCGCCCCTTGACTGCTCCAGTGACCCCCCAGATGGAAGAATTAGGCACACACATCTTGAAGACCAAGTTGGCCCAAACTGAAGATAGATTCCTAGTCAAGTATAAGACTGGTGGCCTGGTGAGTATTTAATCAGAAGCACACAAATGATATCTGTTAGAGATTGTTAGGATTACGCTTGAAAGCTCCAGTTGAACTTAACAATAAATGAGGAACGACAAATATCACGTACTGTGTATCACATATCCATATCACGTAACATACAACACTGATCATGTAGCGCGTAGCACAACGCATGGTTTAATCTACAGAAAACAAAACAAAACAATAACAAATACAAATCAAGATTGATAAATCAAACAATGTAATGATATGACTCCACTGACTGTAGACACACACTCAACCAAGAAAGTCCCCTCTTAATACTTTCTTGTTTACAAAAACTACTGGGCACATCTTGCTCAAATTAGGACTGATCAGTACAGAAATTCCTCAGCAATCCAGCCATACTCTTTGTTTGGCCTAAAACAATGATAATTTGTACAAAATTATGCAATTTATGGCAAATGATACGTGCAAAGTGAGTGTGAACCACAAATTGCACGTATACAAAAGCACAACTGTTTTTGGTATCATTTGTCATAAATTGCATAAATTTGTACACATTATCTTTGTTTGGGCCAAATAAAGAATATGGCTGGATTTCTGAGGAATTTCTGTACTGATTAGTCGTTATTTGAGGGGTGCTCAGTAGTTTTTGTGGGTTACACAAAAAAGAATTGGAAGGGGGGACGTTCATTTTGGGTTGAGTGTGTGTCTACAGTCAGTGGAGTCATATCATTACATTGTTTGATTTATCAATCTTGATTTGTATTTGTTATTGTTTTGTTTTGTTTTCTGTAGATTAAACCATGCGTTGTGCTACGCGCTACATGATCAGTGTTGTATGTTACGTGATATGGATATGTACATTTGTAGCTAGTACCGGTACATGTGTGAGTCCCGAATGTACATCCACATTAATGTGTATTATATGTGTGTGTTCCATGTCTACGATGTTCATGTATTAAAGCCTATGTACATTTTCTCCTGTCTCATTTACACAAATTTTACCAAAACAATTAACACAAAATAAGTAATTAACAAAATAACAAAATGAGCTTGTTTTTAAACGTCTTACAATCATATTGAAAGATGAGGATTTTGAACACTTAGGACTTTGGGCTGTCCTAAAGGAACAAATTTCTGACAAAACGTTACGCTGACATGAAAGTTGATATTATCTGAACGTTTTGACATGACTGACTTGCTAACGGTGATAGGCAACATCGCCCTCTTTTGACAAAATACATATACGAAAGACAAGATCTCCTAATTAGCATAATACAAAACCAAAGCATTCTGACCTAACAGAGATTGCATGCGTACATTTCTTTCTACCTTTGTTTTTCTAAAGAAACTAGGAAAAGTGCAATATCATCTGCATTGCATTTTATAAGTATTCTCTTCTGTTTTTCTTCATTCCCCAGCCTCTTACCCTCGTTTGTATTCCCCAGGCTCGGAAGAGTAGTAAAGATGCTGCCTCTTTGTCTGTCCGAAACCGTTCTAAAATTCTCGATAAAATTCGGGGACTTCTCAGTATGGATGCCAAAGAGTTGCAACAACAGGATGAGCTGAAACTTTCGAGCATGAAGGATGAGTTGGAGAGCATCTTGAAAGACTTAAAGCTGAACTCTATCAGGATTCCAGCCATGAAGCTCCTTGCTGTCAAGACACACCTGGGAATCTCTTGGACACGTATTAGAGAATTAAAGAAATGGTTAAAAGGATATAACATCTTAACTGAAGGTGAGAATGTTTTGCGTCGACAACAAAATGAAGTTATTGCTGATAACCTCATTACCGACAGCTTACCTCTGTCATTCCGTGATGAAATCGACGGAGGAGTTGTCATTCAGCAAGCCCCATATGTTGGTGTGAAGTGTCTTGTCGCCAAGATCAAACAACAACTGGATCAATATCAAAAGTAAGAATTTCCGATACCTGTGGGTTTGTGGTTAGCATAATGTGAATGAATCTCGATCTGAAAAAGTGTGGTTCTAGAAGAACTGATGTTGAGAATGTGTTTTCAACATTTGTACATACAGGAGACTGCACACTTCTACAACATGTTCAGATGAATTCACTTGGTGTTACCTACATGTATAAACCTGACATGTGCTGTCCTGCCATTCCATCATGCAAGGCTTCAATACTTGTATATCATTTGCTTTGTTGATTCAGTGCTAAATTAGTTACTGTGCAATTCATACTTGGAAATTAATATTTTAACATTTATTGATGCAAAATCTCAATTGTGAAACTTCACAATTGTTTTCATTATTGTCAAAAGCTGGTACATCCTTAATTTTGTAAAATTCTGAATCATGGACTTCATATGAAACGCCTCCTACTTGTTTTTAAGTATGCCACTACAGGGAGACTATCACGGGGTGATGATGCCACTCGTATCTTCTGCTTTGCATACTCTTCTAAAATATTTGAACAATTTACTTGATTATAAATAAAAACATTCATTTTTCATCTTTTTATGATTTCAAGCATAGCTTTTCTGGTGACTGACGTAGTGACAGTCATGCATTTTTGCACTTTGCGAAAATTTTTCCCAAGGTTTCTGTCTAAAAGACTACATAATTTCAAAACACATCCCCCTGCTGGTTACAGTGAAAGTACATTTGTAATGTAACTCAGAACCTATAATAATGGAATCTTATATAGCGCACGTATCTACCAACAATTAGGTACTCAAGGCACTGGAAATTATGTCAAACTAGGTACCTATTGACATCATCATGACATTGATCATTGTAACTGGGTACCTATTGACATCATCATGACATTGATCATTGTAACTAGGTACCTATTGACATCATCATGACATTGATCATTGTAACTAGGTACCTATTGACATCATCATGACATTGATCATTGTAACTAGGTACCTATTGACATCATCATGACATTGATCATTGTAACTGGGTACCTACCGGTATTGACATCATCATGACATTGATCATTGTAACTAGGTACCTATTGACATCATCATGACATTGATCATTGTAACTAGGTACCTATTGACATCATCATGACATTGATCATTGTAACTGGGTACCTATTGACATCATCATGACATTGATCATTGTAACTAGGTACCTATTGACATCATCATGACATTGATCATTGTAACTAGGTACCTATTGACATCATCATGACTTTGATCATTGTAACTAGGTACCTATTGACATCATCATGACATTGATCATTGTAACTAGGTACCTATTGACATCATCATGACATTGATCATTGTAACTAGGTACCTATTGACATCATCATGACTTTGATCATTGTAACTAGGTACCTATTGACATCATCACGACATTGATCATTGTAACTAGGTACCTATTGACATCATCACGACATTGATCATTGTAACTAGGTACCTATTGACATCATCACGACATTGATCATTGTAACTAGGTACCTATTGACATCATCACGACATTGATCATTGTAACTAGGTACCTATTGACATCATCACGACATTGATCATTGTAACTAGGTACCTATTGACATCATCATGACATTGATCATTGTAACTAGGTACCTATTGACATCATCATGACATTGATCATTGTAACTAGGTACCTATTGACATCATCATGACATTGATCATTGTAACTAGGTACCTATTGACATCATCATGACATTGATCATTGTTGGCAGGAATACAAATCGGTAACTAGAAAGCACTGGGAGAGCGCAAACCTCGCCAAGGCTAAACATTAAGCCAGTTCAGTATTCCAACTGCGCATGCGCACATCAAGATGTGACGATTTTTCTTTCGGGATAAACATTTCATCGTATGCGTGCAAAAGCATAGCGGGGTACCAGCAAAATGGAAGAGATCGTCGTGTTATGAAGTAAAATTTTGCAAAAACGTTTTTAACAGCGAAGTGTTTTGAGGTGTCTTGTGTGTCCAAACTGTTGTGCAAACGAAACTTTCCATGTCTTTTCGATTGCATGAAAAATAACACAGAATGCAGATTCTGTCACCACGTCCCCCTTAGCCTTGTGTGCATTTATCTGCCGCGTTTATCCTGAACAGAATCCTCAAATCTTGTTGTGCACCAGATTATTTAGGAATACCGAACTGGCTTATTCCTTGCCATATTGTCAGTACACCCAATATAAAAGCGATACAAAAGAAATACGCGCATATATGGTGTAGAATCCTAAAAAAAACACCTGGATCCTGACCCTGATCCGGATCACTTCTGAAATCTAATGGATTTGTACTTGTAGCAAGGACCACCCCTAAAACACTTTTATGCAAATTCGTCCATAATTTTTTGAGTTACTTTGTTAACAGACAAACCAACCAACAAGCTGACCAACGCCGATGAAAACAACCTCCTTGGCGGAGGTAATAAGTGTTTTTCTTAGAGCCAATAATATTCTAATTACTTTTATTAAATTGAAACTTGGCACATTTGTTGTGTGTAATACAGGTATCAAGAGCTGACATGGCACGAAGGCACCATTCCACATGATGAGATTTGGGTGAAAATTGGAGGTGATAAAGGAGGTGGTACATTCAAACAAATGATCCAAATTGGTAATGTCAAGCATCCCAACTCCCTGCGTCACACCATCATAATGAGTGTCTTTGCTGGAGAAGACACCAGAGATAACCTCAAAACTGGACTACAGCGCTTCCGTCTGCAAGTTCCTGAACTTCAGTCAAGCTCTTGGCAGGGCTGTAAGTTTAGACTTTTCATGTTCGGAGACTATGAGTATATCTGCAGAGTCTATGGAATCACTGGAGCAAATGGTAAGTTTAGTTTTGAAATAAATATTTTTTTGGAGTGATTTAGTGACAAAACTTAGAATTTATGGAAAGGGGGATCAAAGGGGGGAGGGCGGCATGGAAATATTACTTTTTCTGGTCCCAATTTGTCACTGTGTAAGAGCCCTTCTGCCTCTCCCCCCCCCCCCCCCCCCTCCGGCACAGCCTCAGTCCCCTCAGTCCCCTCCCCCTCCCCCGGCAGTAACACCTCTGGATCCCCCTTGTGTACTGCTGAATACCATGCAAATTGTGTATACATAGAAGTTGGTAGGAGATGCTTATGTACATGTGCATCATTTTTGTGTGGAAATAGGACGTCACTGTTGCCTTTACTGTGACATCACAAAGGATGGCATGCGGCTGCCCTTAGCTGAAAGACCAGCATTGCAACAGAGATCTCTAGAAACATTGACCTATGACCTGCAGAGATTCAGAGTTCATGGTGCTCACCTCACTAAAGCAAAAGAGTTCAACAATGTGATTGATGAACCAATGTTTGCCATTCCATTGACACAGGCAAGTTTCCACAATTTTTGTTCAACTGTTCTTTGTTTTGAAGTCATTACAGTAATACGTTGCTAAAATGAACATCATGGGACACAGTCGTTTATTTCCAGAGTCTGATTTTTCAATACAACATTTATATGGCATATGGTATAGGCCTACATTTACTTTCCTTCTACTTAAAATAATGCCAGCATGTTAAACATCGAAGCCTTTTATGAGCTTTGTGTTTCATTTACTTTCCCTAACTGTCTGAAAGTGAAGGAAAACTCAAGCTTCATATAGTGTAATTCGCTGAACAAATTTACAAGCCATTTTTGCGGGGGCACCATGCCCACGCACATGCAACACACAATTTTAAAGACAAGGCGCACGTGTATTTTGGTAGCCCTTATGCATACTACCTCAGCGCGACTCATGCGAGCTTTGCAGTGCCACCTCAGAAAATCAGTCTGTATCTATAGCCACGTAAACAAGATGGTCAACATGGTCTGTACTGCATTGTATCAATGTGCGTGGACTGGCCACACCACATCACATAAGCTGTATCAAGCATGCATGAGGTGTTTGCTCAGATTTTCTTGGGTCGGAGTGCCAAAGTTCTGCAGATTTGATCTGATTAATCATTTTGATAATGTTCTCAACTGTCATGGGGCTCAACTGGGACCACCTTCATTAGGGAAACAAAAGACAAATCCAGTCTGGAACCAAGACTAGTGTGTCATTGTTGAAAGAGGTTTAGAGTACATGATGATCAAACGTTTCTTACGTACTTTCCTCAACTGTTCAAGGTTTGTCCTCCTGGCCTGCACATCAGTCTTGGGTTATACCTCAAACATTTTAACAGCTTTGAGGGAGCATGTCATGATCTTGACATGGAGGTTGCAGCAGTGCTTGCTGAAAAGGATCATGAAGAGTGGGATAGCCAGGTACTTGGTTCTCGGTATCAGACACTCATCTCTGTGTTGAAGCAAGCTAGGTGCTTAGAACAACAGGCCAGAGCATTAGATGAGGAGTTGAAATTGATGGAAGAACAACTGACAGATACCATCTTGACATCGGAGGAAGAAAGTACTGATATGCAAGATTACATCTCTGCAACAACGAAACTTGTGAAGAGGCAAAAGAAGCTGGTAAAATGTCCATCAATTTATTTGGTACTGAAAACATTCAACATAATTAAACAGTTGGAATCGCTGCTAGGGCCATGCAATATAGTTCTTGTTATTGCTGTTAAGAATCATATGCATATGAAGTTTAGGCCACATAAAGCATACATCCTGTAGGTCACAAATGACATATTTACAGTTGACTCTTGATATGAAATTGCCAAGGCAACCAAATTGTGCACATCATGAAGGGGACAATGTATATTGTGAATACAGACAGTACACGTTTTGGTTTAGACATACATTTGTATAGACCTAGTTGCTTGACAAACCATTGTCTGTGACCTTTTCAATGAGCCTTCTTTGGTAGAGGCTTTATTTGTGAGTGGGGCTGTTATGTTGCTGCATGTAGCTTGTAGGCTAATCCAGTGCTGAGGTTACCTACGTGTATTGTACTCTCGTAACTGCAATTAGAGTGGGTTTCATTGCAGCTGTCAATGTCAGATTCCGTTTGTAAACAAAACTTGACCAATCGATTGACAAGATCATTCAACTGTTAAATAAAAAAAATCAGTATATCAAAATAAATCTGCAATTGCAAAAATTTGTCCTGATTAAAATTTCTCCAAACTATTAATTTAGAATCACCGTCTAACCATGAGATGTTGTCCATCCGGCCTGTCAATCAAACAATGCGTACAGACCAATAAGATTATGACTTCTGGTCTGGTGACTTGGGTCAGGTGACTCGGTCGCTTATGGTTATTTTATCACTTATGGTTACCAGTTCATAGTTTATTTTCAGTTACCAAAAAATATTGTATACAGTTTTCTTATATGATGTTGTATAATTAATTCATTCATTTAATTGCACATACCAGGAGCCTTTGTTTGTGTTTTGAAAAAGAAGTCAGAGGTCAACGTTTCATTTATTGCAAACTTCAGTTACAAGTCGGTGACTGTTTACCATTATTTCTTGCATATGATCTGCAGTTTGAGGAGGCCAATGCCTTGCGTGATCAAGCAGCACTCAAACCTGGACAAGGACCACTAGCTGGGCAACTTGACATCACTCTGCAAGAGTTCCGTGTCAAGCGTCAGGCATTTGATGGCAAGAGCTTTGTTGGCAATCATGTACATAAATGTTGCAAGGTAAAGTTTCCTAAGTCCAGTATGTAAACATTGTATCTTGGATCCATCTCAGACAGAAAACGATTATTGCATGCATTTGATGGTCTTATTTGTTTCTTCAACATTTTTGCTTAACATCAATATTTTATGTATATAAGGGATAAGTCCTGCTGCAATTACATAATTTCAGGCTTTTGAAACATTGTGACCTTTTAAATATCACCACTATACTATAAAGCACAAAGGATGTGTACAATGTATGTGTGTGTGGGTAGGCTTACACTGCATTATGGAGAAGTTTTTTATTGTTAGGCAAATGAGGACCGAATTATGGGGACTTTTTGCTGTTCCTAAGCATTTTCCGTCCCCACAAATACCTACGAGTGTATGTCCCCACAACTACGAACAAGAATGTGTATGTTCATGTGTTATTCAAGGTTATGATTGATCGCCCGCAAAGTGGGCAACTCCCCCGCAAAGCTAGTGACAAGCAGCTTTGTAGCGGGCGAGGCAAAGCCTCATTTTAACATATTGATGTCATACATATGTGTACTGTGCATGTTTCTTTTTCTTATGAACCTCAAATTTGTTATACATTATGTCAGAGCTCGATTACATGCTTGCATATGTCATCTAAATCACAGAAAGAAAATATCAAGCTCCTAACTGATGCATTGGTCATCAAGACACAGCAAGTGTGTGCTTCCTTAGTTCCAGCTGCTGCATCCATTGCTGCCAAGTATGCCCAACTATTCCACCTGTTTGGCACCTGTCATCGAATGTACAACAGTGCATCACTATTAGATGACTCTGCTATAGATGCATTAGGTAAATGACTGACACTAACTGAAGACAAAAGAAAACTGACGTTACTAAATAGAACATCTGTAAATGGTGCCTGTACAGTAAACTCCGGCCAAGTCAACATCGAACAACTCGACAAATCACTTAAGTCGGTTGTCTGACGAAAGTCCAGATCATCTCCAATGCATTTCCATTGAAATTTGTATTTCTAAGTCGGCTTTTTTAAGTCGCCATTTCGCTCAAGTCAGTGTGTAACTCTCGGTCGCCTTTCCATAAAAAGCACATCAAAATCCTTTGTTTAAGTCGGCATTTAAAAAATCATACATTGGCATGGACTTCCTGCACTGCAGTTGGCAACATGTTCCACAGTGTACGTAGTCAAAAAGGGGTTTCCCCAATACTGCATCGCGAGCACATCAATACCAGTACCCCTCTAGTCCTACACGCATGCGCTCTGTCTATTTTGGGGGTCGTCCTATTGAATGATGCAGTCAATGCGTGCATTAATTTTATATCACTGTACACATACATGTATGTACGGATAGAATACGTTCACAGTCTGACTCGTGCAAACTGTACACTTACATGTATTATGTACACGTGGTCTCCAGTAGAAATGCTACGCTGTACGGACAGTATGATCAATACCCCAGTCCGAGATGATAAAAATCGAGGATTAATTTGCTGGAATCAACTCAAGCATTTAGGAGATAACCCAGGGTAAATCGAAGCCAATCAGTGCAACCATGTGCATAGGCCATTCATGTAAGTCGGCACTTACAGCAGATGTCGGCAGTCGCGTAAATCGTCACAAATTTTCAGGTTCCGAGAGTGTAGACTTGGCCGGAGTTTACTGTACATGTATTGGACTACATGTATTGGACTACATGTGGGACTATTCAGTGAATTTACTAATTTTTCGTTTGTATTCACACAGATCAGGCAATCAAGGACTATATGAACTTCTTCCGTGGAGAATTTCCATCTGAATCAATTCCACCCAAAATGCACTTACTGGAAGATCATGTAATGCCATGGATTAGACGGTGGGGTTTTGGTCTTGGATTTCATGGAGAGCAAGGTGGGGAGTCTGTGCACAGTCACTTCAACTGTCTTCGGCGTGATGTCCGAGGAATAAGTGCAGAAGTTGACATTCTGAAGTCTGTTGTCAAGTCTCAATGGATCATGACTAGTCCTGCTCATGCACCACCCATTACCTTTAAATAGTGACTTTAATAGATTAAGTCATTGATTTCTTCTCACATTCATCGAGGACTGTATTTGTGTAAACCCCTTCATGGTTTTGACTTAATATGCACGGCTTGAAAATAACAAGTCTATTTAGATGGTGTGAAAGATTTTCAATACTTGTGCCTTATTATTTCAGTGATAATGTCTAACTCAACTATTTTAAGGAGATATCCAATCAAAACCTGTAAATTTTGACCCGCGACATACATATTCATGCCGCCCGCAAATTACTGTATAAAACACGTATGTTCACTCAAAAATAAATGTCCAGGTATTTCAATCCCATTTTAAACCATTTTTCCAGTTTTATTACAAACAAATGAAATATGCCGCTATATAAATGAACAATTGTTCAAAATGTATTGCGAATTGGACATGGACAGTTCAAGACAGTCCGCCAATGTTTATTGTCGGTGCAACAGCGTACATTATCACGCCGCTATACCCGTATACCTGCCCGTGCTATTCTGACAGCGATTGTAGGGAACAGGTCAACTCGGACCCAGGTCAAATCGTACCCATTTAATCGAATGCAGGTTAACTCGTATCTAAGTCATGTCGCACCCGTATGATTTAACTGCAAGAAACGAGCTATTAACTTTGGGATGGAAATATACGAAACTGTCATACAGGGACATGGTCAAAAAAATCGCTCTCTGAATTCGTACCATGTTCAACATATATCTCGTACATGTATGTACGACATATGTATTTTAACGCATACGTACGAATTGTATGTCGTACCTACGACGTACGTACGACATGTAAGTCGTAAGTATAACATATAAATGGTACCTACATTTCGTATGACATACAAGTCATACATATGTCGTACGTACAAGATACAAGTCGTACTCACAAGATATGTCGTATGTACGACATAATCGACAAACAAGTCGAACTTACGAGTTAAAATTCATATGTTGTACACACAAGATATTAAGTCCTACTTATATACGACAAAGTCGTATGCGACATATATCTTACCCTGTCGACTCGACATATAAGATCGTACACACGACATATATGTCGTACCGGCACTTGTCGACATTACATGTATGTCATATGTTTGATATGTCATACCCTGTCGACAGTACCCTGTCGATATATTAGTCGTACTCTGTCAACATATATATGTCGTACCCTGTCGATATATTAGTCGTACATACGACATATAACTTATAAGTCGTTAAAATCAGTCTTGCAGAATAAGTTAGCTGAAGGAGAGATAATTTTTTTCCCATATTCCCTTGACAGCTTAGAAGAAATACAATGTATCCCCAAAAGTCAGCGGTAGATATACTGTACTCAATAGTGTGAGCGGTTTTTTTTGCCGCTGAACGAGAGAGCCCAGCGTGTCTTACCGCATGGTGCCAGCCGGGCTGGTGCCTACAGTGGACGGCCCCAACGTGGCCTCTGTGCACGGTGACATCATTATTGCTGGCGTGCAGTTTGTACCGTTTGCCGTTTTTTGAAGGTCTAATTTTTCATCCTTTTCATTTCGTTTTTGACCCAAACTATGTATAACTTTATAAATATTATTCTACTATTATTTAAGATTTTAAGGGGGTGTTTACAATAATTATTGTTACCACAGGCCGTCTGGTTTATAAACCTTTGGTCGCATTATGCAATTTAATAAATATTCATTTTTTTGTCAGCCATTATCCAATGAGAGAAGACTATTTACCATAGCGCGTACTAATTATCATATTGAGCCTACAGGGTTGCGTCAAGGCTATCCTCCGCCTCGACTTACTGTACGGCCGTTTGCAGAAGTGTATGTGGGGTGTACGTACATGCACACAAAGCACACGCAGGGGTCGTTGAGGCTAACGGTATAGTACAACTAGTGTGTCGCGGCGCGCGCTGTGTGCGGTAGTGGGAACAAGCTCGTATGGGAACAAGCTGATAGCCTTGGTCAAGGCTAAACAGAAGCGGATCACAATATTTGACCACCTGAGAAGTACAATTTTTTAATTGTAGAGGGAAAAAATCCCATCTTTTGGAGTATGACAAATTTGAGCATAGAAATTGTATGTAGAAATATAGGGAATTTTCGGTTTGATTACATCATAAGTGAAAATGCGCAAAATGAATACTGATTTAGTTAGAGAGGATACATGTTCACTGAAAAGTTAAAAGAATTTGTGAAAATAAAGGCATTTGTTATGAATGTTGAAGTGTTTGTATTAAACTATTTTTGTGTCATCACATTATTGTTAAAGTGTAATCTACACTTTACTCTGTGCATTTTTACAAATCGACATCAACAAGTAATCCTGTGAACCATTTGGAAGAAATTTGGTTCGTTTTGATTTTGATCAGGGTCAATATAATGATGTGCAAAGTTAAAAAAATCATGAAGTACGTATGAAGTACGAACATTTAAATTTAAAGAAAAGAAAACTGATCATTTTTTTTAACTTCTCTGTACAATAACGGATGATGTGACGATTCTGAAACCTTGCAAACTTCTTTGCGGTTGTACAAAGAATATCTAGGCAATTTTGTAAAATTGTAACGAATGGTTTTTAAGTTCAAAAATTCCATCTATCTTTTGACGTACCGCTAGAGGTCGCCCTTTCGTGTAAATACGTCATCATGCCCATGTTTGTGGTGGACATTCCTCACTAATTATTTGCATAATTTATATAACTAGTAAAATGCTTCTGTCTTCAAGTTATATTGAATTATCATTGCACTTCCGGTTACACCGGAAGTAAAGGTCAAATGGCTTTGCGCCTGGGAATCAAATATATTGCCAGTGGCAATGTCTCAAACAACAAAAAATGAGAACGCTACTCTATTCGGTTATTAAGTTATTATGAAAAGTAATTTCTCAAATTTGGATGTTAACCCGCTTGTAATTTGATACCCGGTGACGTCATGATGACGTCACAATTTTTTTCACATCTTCGGACCAGGTTTCAAGTTCCATCTAGGTTTTATAGTCGTCACGTAAACCGTTTGGGTGAAATGTGGTTCATTTTGATCAGGGTCGCAGAGTGGTCGGGTCGACAACTATTTCATTAGACATGGTCCAGTTTTATGTCAGAACAAAAAGGATCAAGAACTTAAACATTTCCAGTACCAATTATTTTGTACAAAAAGAATGCGTCTTTTAGGGTATGATAAATTTCAGTGTAAACATTTAGGTACACGCACAAGTTATTTCCGGTTTGATGACGTCATCAGTCAAAAAAGGGAAGGGAGGACACTTGTTTATCATTAAATAAAAATAACGCATGGAAATTAAGTGTATGTACATGGGCGTCGCGAGGGGGGGCAAGGGGGGCACTTGCCCCCTCCTGGAAAAGCAAAAGAAAAAAAAAAAAAAAAGGAAGAAAAAAAAAGAAAAGAAAAGAAAAGAAAAGAAAAAAAAGAGGCGCGAAGACAAAGTGGTGTAAATTTAATGAGTTGGGGGGGGGCAAAATGTCCCTGCCCCCCTCTAAAACTGATAAATCGAGAATGTGTTGAGAAATACAAGCATTTCTTGGCAAAAAATTTTTTTACCCCCCTCTAGAAAAAATCCTGGCGACGCCCATGTGTATGTAATAATAACACCCAACTTCCGGTTTGATGACGTCACAGTATTTGGAAGCAAAAGGTCACTATTAAGTGTAACATATGTCTTTTGGGGGGCAAAAAAAACATTAAAAAAAATATATCATTGTTCAATTCTCCCTACAGTAACTTGCGGTCTGATGACGTCATGATTATGAAACCTTGCAAATTCATTTGTGGTTGCTCACAGGATATATAGGGGCAATTTCATAAAAATTTGATGGAGGGTTTTAACATTTCAAAAGATTAAACTGTTTTGATGTGCTGCTAGAGGGCGCCCTTTCGTGGGATGACGTCAAAATGATGTTTTTGTGATTGGCATTCCTCACTTAACACTTCCATAATGTATTTGTCTGTAGTAAAATGCTTCCGTTTTAGAGTTAAATTCAATTTCTATTGCACTTCCGGTAACACCGGAAGTGAAGGTCAAGCAGTTTTGTGCCCGGGAATACGAAATGTTGCTCAAGACACCGTCTACAACCTCACGAAAAATGAACACGATACTATATTCAAGAGATATTGGTCAAACTATTTGGACAAATCATGCCATCAAATTGCTTGTAATTTGATACCTGATGACGTCATGATGACGTAACAAAATTTATAACATTCGTAATATGTTGCAAGTTCACAGTAGGTTTTATGATCATGCCATAAACTGTTCGGAAGAAATTTGCTTTGTTTTCATTTCAGGCTAATTTCTTCAATTTGATTTCACCTAACTTTGACCTTCCGGTAGACCAGGAAGTAATGGTGTATCTGATTACAGAATACAAACATCATTGATTACTTTGTTCAAGAGTTATAAGTGAAAGTAATTGGTCATTTTTTTCAGCTAAAATTGCTGGTAATTTGAGATCCGATGACGTCATTATGACGTCAGAGTAATATGCACCACTTGGGATGAGGGTCGATATACAGTGAAAGTTACAAGTTCATATCATAAACTGTTAAGGAGAAACCCGCGAATAAGAATTGTCCAGAAAAAAAGAAAGAAAGAAAGAAAGAAAGAAAGAAAGAAAGGAAGAAAGAAAGGAAGATTAATCGTAACACCTCCAAAGAGTGATTGGGTTGTGTGCCCGACCACTCAACAAAGAATAATTCTTACCATTTCAAATGGGTGCATACCTATGTTCCCCAATACCGATGTTCCCCAAAATCCCTACCAATAAACCCTAACCCTAGCCCTAACCCTAACCCTAATCCTAAAGATTTGGGGGAACATCGGTAGTGGGGAACATCGGTATTGGGGAACATCGGGTAGATCCCTTTCAAACAGGTGATCGGGTCGAACCCGATCACCCAATAAAGCTCTCTTATCCTAGAAGAATGGTAATTGTACCTTCACTTGCTCAGGGTTATAGTAGGTTAATATTGTTCAGGGGAAGGAAGGAAAGGCATTAGACTGTTATGGAAGGTATTTTCTGTTTCAGACACTCATTCTTGGAAACATTCAAAATGTTTTAAAATGTTTAATTCTGTAGAGTTTCAATAAGGGAATAAATGTGTGCTCCGGAGGTTTTTATCACTCGTTTAATACCGCTTAGAGTCTGGGTGCTGATAATTACCCGAGCCAGAGGCGAGGGTAATTATCAGCACCCAGACTCTAAGCGGTATTAAACAGAGTGATAAATACCGACCGAGCACATATTTATTCCCATTCATAAATACCTTATCCGTAAAAAAATATCAAATAATTCGTTCAAAAATCCCGATTTTGTTCAACAAGTTCACTTCATGCTTTTTGAAACATCCCTCTAGCAAAATAA